AATTACATCCGAGGCCGCATAGGAGAGGGAGAAGGGGTTATGTCTGCTGCGCGGTCGTCACTCCTACATTAAAGCCACTACACTACATAGATGGAGAGGAAGTCCATGTGTTGAAGGGGATAAAGTTGATGTCTGTAAATGCAGGGGACCCGTGTTTGAATCGAGGTTTGGGGAGGAAGGGCATCCGGTGCAAAAACTAAGCCTAACCTGAGAGCAAGTCACTTTGCCTGGCGAACCCTGAAAATAGAAGCAGCCTAAAGTGCACCGACAACTGGTAGACAGGTACAATTTTAACACGGTTACTAGAACAAAAGTAGTAAAATGCTTTTTGAAATAAAAGAAGCAGTCAAACTGATGTAAACTAAAAAAAATATGTTTTTTGTTTTTAGTTTCTTTGTTTGTTTGTTTTTTTACTGCTATTATGTGGGTTAACAATCTTTTTATCATGTCGATGAGTGCATGTGTGTGAGGGGGAGGGGTTATTTAAATGATTTGACCAGCTTTATTCTCATTGGATGACAGAAATGTCTAGCAAGCACCAATGAATGGCAGAGCTGTACAAAGAGATCTAGTCCCTCCCCCATATGTAGCGACACAACCTCTACACTCACACTGTAGAGAGAAAGATGAAACGGAGTGATGCTACGAATGAAACTAAAACAAAAAGGTGGAAATATGTTTTGGGCTAGATTTTGGAATTTTGCTTTGGATTAATTTCTTACTGCAATGGAGGATATAGACCGTACTTTGGATTGCTTCATTTGGAAATAATTGTTGAGAATATTTGATGGCAAAGACAATGGGATACCGAGAGTGGAGATGGAAAGCGGTTTGGTGGAATCAGTTCTTTCTCCTGTGGACTACAATAGAAGCACAGACTCGTTACAGCATCCCAGAAGAACTAAAACCGGGTTCTGTGGTCGGAAATCTCGCCAAAGATTTGAGTTTGTCATTATCTGACATGTTTGACCGTAAGCTGCGGGTCGCATCTGAGTCTGGCGAGCAGTATTTCAGCGTGGATGCGGGGAAGGGAGAGCTTGTGGTGAATGACAGAATAGACAGGGAAGCTCTATGTGGACAAAGCGTGAGCTGCGTGTTACCTTTACAAATTGTCATTGAAAACCCTTTACAATTACACCGACTGGAGATAGAAATTAAAGATATAAACGATAACTCTCCAGTGTTTCAAACAAAAGAATTATCTTTAAAAATTGCAGAATCTGCAGCAGTGGGAACTCGCTTTCTTTTGGAAAGTGCAGAGGATTTAGACGTGGGGGTTAATTCCGTGAAGTCATACACTTTGACAAGAAATGAATGTTTTACACTAAAAATGAAGGATGTTAACCGGGGTAGAGCAGTTCCTGAGTTGGTTTTAGAAAAGCCCCTTGATCGAGAGAAGAAAGCGTTTTATCAGCTAAAGTTGACTGCAGTAGATGGAGGAAATCCGACCCTTTCGGGTACCTCACAACTTACAATTACTGTGCTTGATAATAATGATAATTTTCCTGTCTTTGAAAATATGACGTTCACAGTTTCTTTGCAAGAAAATTCTGTGAAGGATACTTCCATAATTAAGATAACTGCAACTGATGCTGATGAGGGACCAAACGGAGAAATAGAATATTTTTTTGGCGCGAGGACACCGGAATCCGTGTTATCCATGTTTGAAATCCGATCCTCAACTGGAGAGATATATCTGAAAGGAGACTTAGATTATGAAGAAGCAACCTCCTACAAAATAGAAATATCTGCGAAAGACAAAGGGGTTCCTGAAATGGAGAGTTACTGTCATTTACAAGTAGATGTTTTAGATGTTAATGACAACACACCAGAAATTGTTCTCACTTCTGAAC